GGGGTGTTTTCAACGCTCTAGCATGTCTCTATCAAAAGTTATTGTCAAAAACTGCTGGGGACGTTTCGTGACCTAAGATGACCTCTGTGACATCAGGAGGGGTTTTAGGTGAAATTTTCCTATGCAATGTGTGAAGTTAACTTGTATCCCGATGTTTGGTAGTGTCTTTGAGAGCATTCATCCAAAACAGACGCCATTCAATTTCCTCCCATTGACTTATAATGGAGAGGTTACAAAACTGTCCTGACCTTAGGTCACAGATATCAAAATTCCGAGATATATATTTTATAGGTAATTTTATAAATATCAATTGCGATCGTTCAGTCGGTGTAGCTATAGCGAGTAGCTATAGCATTGGCACTTTTTCTTAGGTAAGGTCACTTGACGTGACCTGGTGCCCTGACCTTGAACGACCCGGGTTGGCGGGTTGACCTTGATTGACATCTAGTTGGTGTTTGCAAGCTGCAAGAACGCCTGGGTCGGGTCAACTGAGGTCAACTAAGGTCAAACTACGTTTTTGCTAATAACTTGGCACACATGGAGGCCGGAGCTTCAAAAATGGTGTCATTGATTTTCTTGTGATCTGGCGATTCGAATGATATGCAATATAATGCATTTTGATTAACCTAAACTTGATTAATTACTTTAATAATTCTAAGACAATTCTAAGTTCACTAAAATTGGTAACAAATTAAGGATATCATTCGATGCGCACGGACTCTTTTTTTGCTCTATCTTTATTAGATACAATGTTATAAGCGAAAAACTTATGACATTTTTAAGCGAAACTTTTGCACTTATACCCCCCAAAACCAGTAGCAGCGGAACACCTTCAATTAAGGAGGGGCGGGGGAGCACTGCCGACTTTCGGTCCCTTTCTTTCCATGCAACGCCCATAGGGCTAATGTTAACCCGCGCCCTGGTGGGGTCTGTTTATAACGCGACCTGGTGGGGGGGGGGGGGGCTATTTTTTGCCTCCCCTCGTATCTCCGAAACTACTGGACGGATCCACAAAATTCAAACGTCGTTCGAAAGTCCAGTCAAATCTGTCTTGGGAAATTTAATTTCATTGATCTCGGGTTCACTGATGAAGTCGCAGGTCAGGTCAAAGATAAGATGTTTTGCCGGTCACGGGTCTTGGGAATGCGCTATAACATCGAATAAAACGCATTTTATCGAAAATCAGCAATAGGGCGTCAGTTGCCTAGTGCATATGTTGCTATTAGAGGTCACTGATAACACCAGGTCAGGTCACAGGTCAGGTCACCAAGGGTCAGCACATGAACCCAACTTTACTAGGGCTGTGTGATGTATGTTTTATGGCCAATTTTTCATTTCAAACTAATCGATTATAAGACTATTAGGAATGGTTGGGGCATTTCCTGGTGGAGGTCAGGTCAATGCCAGGTCAAAAAAGGCCAAATTTCAAAGTTGATATTGCTGCATAAAATGGGTATTGATTCGATGCAGCTCGTCACGGTGAGCCTAATGGTGAACTTTGTTTTGCGCTACGTGGTCTAGAATTGCTAAAAAAAAAAATGAGTTTGAAAATTTGACGTCATCAATTTTGAACAGTTTTTTCGCTATATCTTGGCCAAAAGGAGAAATATCGATCTACAATTTGGCATGTGATTAGTAGTCGGTAAGGGCTATCACATATGTTCCGGGTTTTCGAAAGTCAAACAACTTTTTGGATTTTTTCGCTACACCTTGTAATTCTACACCTTGTATGTATTAAACGTTTTTCTGTATCTTCAACGCTATAGGCCTGACAGCTGACAGACAACAGCAAAACAGGCCTCAAGGTAGTGAAGGTTGCTCGTATATGAAGTCATGGATGGTATATAGGGAGTTGATTTTTCCCGCGTTGACTTATCCCTCGCCGGCCGAGTGGGTGGGCGGGTGCCGCCCCCATAGGTTTTTTTCGCGATAGCTCCAAACACGCTGGCGATAGAGAGCTGAAACATGGCATACCTGACCTTTGATTCAAGCAGGATCTTTTGACACCAACCGCATTTTTGGGTCAGGTCAGGTCACTGACCTATGACGTCATAAGTGAACCTCTGCACGGTCTTCAGATGTCGCAACTTCGCAACGCCCTCACTGCTAGAGGAGATGTCACAGGGAAATGAAACTTGCAGGATCTAGTATCCATTATAAGTCTCACAACTTGTTTATCTCAGATTTTTCCTAAAGGTCATATGAGGTCAGGTCATTTTCGTGACCTCACCATTACCTATAAGTCAATGGGGAAAAAATGAAAACTGCTATTCTGGCGCCGGGAACGATCTCCAACTATATCAAGCACACAGAATCGTGATTTGATGCACTCCTTGCAAGGTTAGATGCGTCACTTTTGCAATGCTGACCTTGTGTGACGTCATTTATGACGTCATCAAGGTCATATTAGTTTTTCGTCAATAACTCCCTCTCATATTGAGCAAGCGAGTCAGTCGGGAAGCCACCAATGGACTCAGGAAGACCTGCCGAATCGAATGATATGCGACATGACCTCTTTCGACCAACTTCGTGACCTGGGGGTGCTGACCTGACCTTAACCTGAGGTCAACACCCTAAGTTGATCTGGCCCGAACAAAAAGTATATCATTCGACGCGCCTGAGCAAGGCGAACACGATGCTGCCAAAATCGCGGCTCTGTGGCCGTTTTTTGCGAAGTTATTCACCAAAAACTGAACCATACCTTGGGGCACTTGACCTGACCTCAGAGGTCACCGGTTGACCTAGGACCTTAAAATTGGGTACCAATCTCTGCGTCTCGTAACGGCGCACACGCTCGTTTTTTTTCCGCGACGTGCTAGCTCCACCAGGGGCGAAACGGCGAGGGGGGTCGTACCCCTCCGGCCGGCGCGTATGTAGAAAACCAATAGGTCCGGCGAGGGTTATAATGAGGAAGTCGAGAAATTGACCTGAACTTAGGTCACCGATATCAAAATTCCGAGATATACAAATTATAACTACCAATGACCTAATAGCATCTTGCGACTTTCAAAGGCGTCCGTCACCTACTGTAGCTCTGGCACGGCGACAAAGTTGCAAAAAGTGACTTGAGGTTGGGTCATTCAAAGTGACCTGGTGACCTGACCTTAAAAGTTAGAAGGTTCAAACTTGCACACCATGTGTAAAATTTATTAAAAAAATAGTCATACTGAATTTCGTGACGCTACGCGCCGCGGTTTTCCCGCTATTCACGAAAAACCTCAGGGGGAGGGGGGCGATAACCGCCCCCCCCGTCGCGTCGGTGCGCGGGTTAAAATGGAAAAATCAAGGAGGGGCATGGTGCCTCGGTGCCCCCCCCGTTCCGCCGCCTATGCCCAAAACCCCCCTAAATATTGACTTAGAGTCACCAAATTTTCAAAAGGGCGACATCTCCTATCGATCTATGGATCGAGATATCTTATGGATACTATGGCGAGACCTACCCTGTAAATTTGGCGTTTCTAAGTGCCCTAGGAGCCAATCACCGAGGGGGTCGTACCCCCCCCCCCCCCTTCGCCGTCCGTGTTATGAAAGAGGCCCTCGCCTGGCGAGGGTTAAAAAGCCTTCTCTGCAAAAACATAAATGTTGACGGCAGTTCTGTCAGGCATACTCTAAAGGCATCATCCAGAGGACTCAGGATGCCTTTAGAGTATTGACCTTATAGGTCAGATATGCATTCTGCATATTCTGTGTTCTGTGTTATGTACTTGCACTAGCCTACTGCAGGCCTAGTAGCCCATTTACATCATGGAGTAAACCAGAAGACACAGCATATGCACACGACGATGAAGACAGCATATCACATTTACGTTCACTGAGAATGAGCGAGCCGTCGGATGTCCGATAAAGCAGAACACGATGGTGCCAACATGTCAACGGTTGGTGTATGCTGCAAGAAGCGGTTACAAAGCACAGGGGTACGGACAGTGAACCCTGACTTCACAATATTCACACGATCAGTTCTCTATATACCGTGACACGATCGAACGCTGCGGGTACATCTATGTCTGTCGAGAGATTCTATTTGGGACTGCTAGGGCAAGGCAATCTGTTGGGGGGCAGTCGATCCCACTGCAATGCACATACATTGAGTAGGAATGAAAGATCAGCCTGTACAAAACGGGACTTAATCGAGCACAGACCAAAGCGGTTCAGGAGACACGCGTTATCCAGACTGGAAAAATCTCCCTCGAAGTTCGATGCCACGACACATATAGAAGGATGCTCGATTCGATCGACTCTCGAGCCCCACATGAACGTGTTTTTTTTTTCTTCCTATGCTTCTGCGAGGTTTATATCTCCGCAGTATGCAACCACTGGATCGATTCATTGGCGCAGTTTTTTTTTTGTAGAGTAGTTTCGTCCTTTCTACCTAGTATTGAACTATTCCCGAAGCATGTGGGCGATCTCTAATACTTGTGCTACATGGAAAAAAGAAGAGGTGTCAGTTTTGTAACCATTGCATTACTTAGCCATAACTGGGCCGATTGCGCTGAAACTTGGCATGTGGGTAGGTACCCACCGGGAAATGCATTTCCATGTGCGTTTCCAAACTGTTACCTACCCATCGGTCACAGTTTGGGTGCTACTGCACGTGCGCACGTGCAGGAGTCGCTTCCAAATGTGGAGAACGACTGGGCTGATTGTGTTCAAGTTTGGCACGCGATAACGGACGGGCCGACAAGTAGGGTGCCGTGCAAAAGTCAGTTGCAAATGTTCCCTCGCAACACCACACGTGCAGTTTTCGCCCTCACGGTCGCTTGTTTGTCACCCTAAAAGGCGCCCTACTACTGGTTACGGTCATTTACATGACTTATCTGAGGAGTTACAACTTACAATGCCTCTAGCCATAGCGCAGGATATGTAACTTAAGTATATAGCCAATAGCCATAGACCCATACATACCGAAGTCTATGGTGTAACAGGATATAGTCAGTAATAAAACACTGAGCACAGCAAACGAGCTGTTGAATACAAAAGCGGACAAACCGACCCTCGCTTACCCCATCCAGTTTCGGGAAGTCCTCCGGATCCAAGTGGAACTCCCAGAAGTTGATGAACGGGTGCAAAAAGTGCTGCGGAAAGCCGCTCAGGGTGCGAGCCGACACACTACGCGAGTCTGCACCACCGGCCAGCACCAGCGGCACCACGGCGGCCACCGCCACCAGCCAGAGCGCCAGACGTGCCATGGTGACGGAGCTCCGCCTGCCGCACCTGCGCCACGACTGGCGACTGGTACGGGCGCGCCGCGCGCGGAAGGTGGCGCGGGGCGGGACTGTCCGTCAGCTTATCAGGACCGGAGAGACTGTCCGTCGGCCAGTCAGGACAGGCTGCCAGCCACTCAGGACCAACTGTCCGTCAGCTCAGCCACTCAGACAAACTGTCAGCCCTTTAGCTACTTAGGGGACCTAGCTGACATAACTCAGCTACTAAGAACCGACTGTCCGTCAGCTACTAAGAACTGACTGTTCGTCAGCAGCTTAGGACGAACTGTCAGACCTTATGCTACTTGTGACCGAGCTGACGGACCTCAGCTAAAGAAACGAATGTACATACGTCAGCCAGTCGGGGAAGACTGGCAACCTTAGCTGCTTAGGTTCGAAGTGACGTTTTGTCATTTTCGTTGCCAAGATCGTTTCGTCCGAGATTTACTCCATTTAAAAGAATGAACTGTCAAATGTCTTTTATCTTCTGTGCCATACTTGACACCATCACGTCTACTAAAGGGCACCGCTTGCTTGCACGTGCAGCGAGCGGGTATCTGCATTGTGCATACAGATTGCTGAACCCAGCTGACCAGCTAAAACACATACCTACAGTGGAATCTGTCGCGTTGAAAGTTGTCCGTCTTGACCTACTGACAGTGCGCGGGAGCTCAGTCAACCACCAGCGCGGCGGCCGGGACAGTACCGGATGGATGAAATCGAACAGCGCCAGCTCAGACAGGATGTCTTTATAAATGTGATTCATATCGGCCTGAGGTGGAGCCGAGATGCGTTATTTGTTCGGGCTCTGTTGTAAGAACCACTGACATACCAGCAGCTATAGTGTGAGGTAGAGGTGAACCATGAGCCTGATCACCTTATTGTGATATGCATCAGGGCAGAGTTCGAAGCGTTAGAGTTTGTTTGTCAAGTTCTCTGAGCGTCGGTTCCCTGCTGCCCTACATAAAGATCCCCGTGTCGCAGCTCATGAATATGCTAAGCGGATCTCTGTCCAAAAGTATTATCGGGCATCGGTGGGTCAGACGATGTGGGAGGAATTGTGACAATAATGACAGTGATGACGGTAGTGACAGCAGTGACAGTGGCAACACGCACGCTGCACCCCAGGAAGCGGGGGGGGGGGGGGGAAGCAAAACGGCCCCGCCGCGCCTTCTTCTTGGTACCTATCTATCTTCTGACGCAATGCCATTTTCGTATTCACCTCGAAGCTACCACACCTCGCGACGTCGTCTGCTCAATCTGTCCCACAGTCCTGTCGCAAACTGCAAAGCATGACTACGCCATCAACACCAAGATATCCGGTGTTGGTGCCGACCAGGTGCCGGTTCCATGGTGACAAAACGGGTCGGTACCAAGCATAGGTACCAAGTACTAACCACCTCCGCGACGCATCCCGGGAGCCGAGCTGCTCCGAACCAAACAAATTATCCACAGTGCTGTGGGAGGAGCCACAAGGAAAACACAGACCATCCCTGCATGACAATACACCGCTTCGTCCCTTCCATTTCGCTGAACCGTCTGTGTCGGATCGTCTCTCTCCTGGCTGGCGCCTGGACGGCTGGCTCCTGACACAGTTTCCCTGCGGCCTCACTAGGTATACGGAGTTCCGTCTGGCGGACAGCAGCTGCGGCCAGCAGGACACCTCGGCTGGGTGGGCGCGCCGGTCAGGTGTGCTGTGCGCGCTCCAGGACAGCCGTCACACTCCAATAACAGCTGGTGGCGCCGACCCACCGACCGACTGAAGCCTCTAACGGTGTCAGCGCAGAACCGACCGACCGGACACGGTGTGGGGATGCCAGTGAAATGAACACCGAGTCGCGGTGTAGAGGGCATGATAGCACTGACGGGGCGAGCAGCGGACACTGATCACGTGGAAAGCGCTGTCTACACTCTAAACAGTACCGGCCTCGGAAACCACCCGGGGACCTCCCGTCGTGGGTGACCAGGTCGGCGAGGCCCCAGACTCGGCCCGGCCGAAATGTCCTAAATAAGCACATAACATACATACATGGAGTCGGTACCCTGAATGCATAAATGATCACAACCGTTTTTTCCTTCGTATCATCACATTGGTTCTGAGGTCACAGAACTGTTGGTTATCGAAATTATTTTTATTTCAATATTTTTCGACGAATTGGAGCGTACCTAACTCGTAAACCAGAAGAGTTACTGCATCTCAGAAAAGCACAATCGAAATTGATAGGTGGCTTGAAGTTTTTTCATCTGCAGGTATGTCACCATTGTGTCCCAACCTAAGTTTTCGAACCAGCGTGTAAACGGTTTCACCTCCAGACTGCAAAAGGGGCATTCCACGTCAAATCGAACAAAAATGGGCTGTTTTGCACCTTACCATCAGCGATTTCATTACAAATTTGTGAGCGAGTTCCTGTGTCGCCCCGAACATTACATTGATTTTTTTTGCACATTCTGACCACAGGTCTTCTAAATATAGGGCATCGAATTTTTACAAAATGTTGCATCTTTATATTTTTGAACGACCATAACTTTGGTTGTACTTGTTTGATTTGAATGAAATAAACCTTACTGTTTAGGTAATTTCTTAAGCATTTGTTTAGAATTGCACCTACTTAAATATATGACCTTGAAATTTGCTTAACTCTGTTCTTAAGCACAAATATTGAAATAGCAAAAAACACGTCACCTTCGATTTGGCTAATTTTCATATATTTTATTGCCTACCATATTCTTAACAACCTGTGAAAAAATTAGAGTGGGCCATTCATAAGTTTTGAAGAAAATGGCACATATGCAAACGTATGTTAGCACGCGCAGTGGAGGGGGAAGAGTGAATTTCGCCCCACCCCTCCTGTTTTTCGCCAATATCTCATAGTATTAATGCGAAATTAATTATAGCTACCTGTCCAAAATTGAATTGCACATCTCATCGTGCAAGCAAGAAGAAAATCGGTTCACAACTGGTCTAGTAATAGCGGTGTAAAGTGAACATCCTGTCGCCGCGGCGACTCGGCAGCCGGCGCCGACCGCTAGCCGCCGCCTGAATTGTAGACTGTGCCGGGACGGAACGGAACGGTTCCGTCTTTACATCGCGCTCCTTACCGCTGATTACGTTCGATTCGCGTCAAATTTTGTGAGAAGACTAAGAAATGTACAGGAAATCTTATGGTGTAAGAATTTTGAAAATCGATTGGTAAACAATTGAAATATGAACGTGTAAACACAAAATTGTGATTGCTGCGTTTCCCGCGTCGGCCGATCCCGCCTCAGCCGGCGACATGTTACTCTTAGCAGGTCTCTAATTGCCATATTTATTATTGGATTAACTAGAAATTCCCCATACATACTCAAAAATGTATATTCTTTCGTATAGTCAAGATAAAAAGACGAAGGTATCGTTGCGTGATAATGTTTTCGTTGAATTTTTGGCTTCATGTCTCATGATGCATTTCCACACGGCTCAAAATTCACCGCAAAATAGTAAATACCGTTTGCCTGAGACACTTTTACTATGGAACTTGAATGCTTGACTACGATGACTATGTATTTCCATTCTCGCAGAGTTTAGGATATCACTAATCAGCAATCATTCATTTCAGAAAGTGTAGGGGAGAGTGGGGCACATTCGTGCATGGGGCACATTCGTTTTTTGCAGTTTATGGGAAGACGAGTGACTGCACGAGCTAAAGGTAAATTATGAAAATATGTCTATCATTGCCGCCCTTCGCTCACTGTAGAAGACAACACTGTACCTGCTGTCATGCTGGATAAAAACGCAAATTTGTAATATCCGTGCGCTTTCCAAACTTTTCTCATATCATCCATCGTGATCCTGACTCGGAAATGTGGGTTAACTTTTCAAAATTGAGAGCAAAGAAGCTCACTTTATTCACGGAACTGCTGCAAACTAGTTTGTTGAAAAACTGTCATTTTTTTCAATAAGAAATTTTGAAATATTTTACAAATAACGTTGTGGGGCAGGTTCGTGTACGCACTGCCTACGGCCACATTCCTCCATATTTTTTTTTTCGTTTTTGCGATTTATGACTTTATCTGTAGTAGTGACGCTCGCCTGACTCAGTCTCGGCTGCTTGCGACGTCGTGACAAGTAGTTCAGGTGTCCTTGGAAAGGTCACGGAGGCGGGTCCATGGCCGGCGGCTGGCACATTCTTGTTGGCCAGCCTATTCTTTCTACATATGTTGTGCAATGCATTCTTGTCGAAAGGAATCAAGTGAAAGGACCCCCTGCCAATTTCTGTTGATAAATTTTTGGCAATGCCCGGTAATTCCTCAAACTTTGCAGGGTGCACGGAAGTGCCCTACCCCTTGCACGAATGTGCCCCATAGGTGGGGCAGTTTCGTGCAAAAGTTCAGAGTTATTAACCCGCGCCCTGCTGGGGGTCCTGGATTTCCACGCCCTGCTGGGGGGGGGGGGGTGTTTGAACACCCCCCCCCCCTTGTAACTCGGCTCCTGGGCCACGTAGCGATACGCGGAAGGCGGCGTTCGAAAGAGCGTAAAAAATAATGACGAAATCACTTCGGTCAATTTTTTGGTCAGGTCAAAGGTCAGGTCACCAGAGGTCATTGAAGGCAAAATTTCGCCGATTTCCAGGTCGAATGTCGAAAATTTCCAAGAAGCCAACGCATAACTCGGGAACCAATAGAGCTACAGCGCCGCGGAAAAGCGCATTCGATAGCCCTATTAACGCCCTTTCTGAGTAATTCTCTCAGATTTGACCTAAGGTCAACGGTTTTGCCTGCAGGGGGCAAAAACTGCAAAAATAGCCGATATTTTCGAAAGTAGTTTTTCTGCAATAACTTTTGACCCAAGCCTTGTACGAGCTTACTTTTACCGGCATCGTGTTCCTCTCGTCAAGACGCATCGAATGAACTATGACTTGACCTTGAAAGGTCAACTTGAAAATTTGACCTCAGGTCAAGGTCATGACCTGACCGTAACGGGTCATGTTGCATATCAGTCGATCCGTATCGTCGAGCTGAACACATCTAAGGCGTTTTC